TGCATAGTAAACCATGTGGTTGCCAGATTCAAAATGGCCAATACCAGTCCATTTCAGCTCACTAATGCCTAAGATATTGATGCGTTCCATTTCATTTTTTAAAACTTCCAATTTCCCCAGATTCATACTTTGTACATTCCATGTTCTGATTTTCATTGGATGTTTACAGCTGTTCCTCTTCATTTTGAGTTGTGGCCCATCAGCAAATGAAGGCCCTGTGCGCTTCTCTCCCCCGAGCTTAACTCTATTCATGTATCTGACAGTGTTTCTCTGCTTTTCATAGAGTTTTCAGTGACTAGCGATTCGGAAGTAGTTCGTCACTCTTTCTTCCTAGTCTGTCTTTGTCTGGAAGCTCATCTGAAACCTGTCCACCATGGGTGACCCTGCTGGTTATTTAAAATACCGGTGGCAGAGCCCTCAGTATCACAGCAACTCGATCCACCACAGCACTACAGACAGCTGAGTGTTGGCCTTTCGGTTTTATGTCGAAACTGTCACTTTGTTTCGATATCAATCCTGAAATAATCAAGATACAATCAAGATGTTCTATCCTGATACTATCAATCCTGATACAATCAAGACATTCTCTCCCAAGATAGTGGCTCCGGGAACAGCTGAGTGTCTTGATCCAGAAAACAATGGGTTTCTGGATTCTTTTGCAAATTCTCCAGCTGTAAACCCTCCGATCCTCCAAACATACCATTATATTTGTTTCAGAGTTCCAACACCATCTCGTGAGCTCTCTTGGCCCGGTATCCGTGTTGTTGACGGAGCTCCTCACTACACGTCTACTCGATCTGCCATCTTGAAGGTGCAAGGCCTGGTAGTGTAGTGGTTAAGAATCTGGCTGCGAATCCCTCAGTCAGCAGCTTGAATCTACCAGGCCCTCCGCGGGAGAGAGATGAGGCTTTCTGCTCCTTGCAGTTAAACGGCCTTGGAGTCTGTCGCATTAACCCACAGCACCACACCAGGACTCCAAATCTCGCTGCTGCTTGAAGATTTATATATATGCTAAAGTGTCTTTAGCATATATACAAATGTTCTTCAAATTCCTTGTATAGACTTCTGGCAAGATGGTGGACTGGGCAGACAAAGATATGAATGCCAGCCTGCTAGCTGCTCACTGGCTCTCTGCTCCTACAAAGATCTAAAAGCCACAGTCCCAGGTGAGCTTTAGTCCCAGGTGAACTACAGCTCAGCTTCTCCTGAGATGTAGTTCACCTGGGGCTATCTCCAAGCAAAAAGGAATTAGGGGAGCATATTCAAAACTTCACACCTCAAGATAGAGAGACTTGATCCCAGTTAAGCATTTGGGATGGGAGGTGGAAGAGTGTGTGCCATGATTATGTTGAAATTGTGAATTATATAATTATTTAAATAAACTAACAAAAATTCCTTCTATAGCAGCCTTTTAGTTTTGAAAATGACAATGCTTTGCAAGAAAATCCAAAGTTCAGAGACAAAAAAACAAAACAAAATAACCACTCAAGAGGAAAAACATAACTAAAGAGGATTTATTTTGAACTGAGAGTTTACCTTGAAGACATGACTAAATTTTGTCACTACTACCCACCCCCATTCATCTCATAGAAGGGTTAATACAGTGAAATGTTATAAAGTAGATATGAACATCTTAAGAGGATTGGAACCAACATTAACTGACAACTTTCTTCTAAGCCATCATAAAAATGTTAAAGTAGAAAAAAAAAAAGAAAAGAAAAAGGAGAAGTGGGGAGCAATGGGGATTTTAGATGGAACAAAATCCTCATATGTCATCTAATACATTCAATCCTGGCTAGAGTGTAACAAAATGGAAACAGGACTACTATAATACAAAACTCCCACTACAACACACTGTACACACCTGTGTTCCAAGCCCACCCCCCCAACCCCTTATTGCTTCCAACTCTACTATTTCCCAGCCTGTTGAGCCTGCCGACGAAGGAGCACGTAGATCTTCTCCTTAATCCAATCTTTGTTGTAAGGTTGGTATGTCTGGGTATCAGCTCGGTAACTGAGGAACAAAAGGTTGAAAGTAAGGTTAGAATGGCCAATTACTGTCACATGTTTAAAGCCCCAAATTATAACTTCCCAATGATGGCAACATGTGTATGTCCATGCATGGATTTAATGAAAAGTTCTGAGCTGATTTTCACAGCCATGGAATTTTAAGTGATACTATAACTTCTTATCACCAAATACAATCTTAAAGTGGAAAAAGAAACTAAGATCTAGATATGATAAGTTAAATGCTCAATGCGTTAACATATCTACTACTTTTTGACAGTGTATGTGTCCCTTCTTCTAGCTATTATTTTATGGTTCTTCTAGTAATTAAAAACAACCACTAGTATGAACTTCAGATATGTATACTTATTTAGAATGTACTGTATTTTAGGATTTGCTTTTTCAAATAATACTAGAGGTCAACCAATTAACCCAGTTATGTTTAGGGGAATAAATAATAGGAGAAAACATCCTACCTGGCCTTGAAACTTGAAATCTACCTATTTATTTAAATAAAAAATTCACTTTTGGGAGCCAAAACTAAACCTAGAGTTTTAAAACAGAAAAAGCAGTTAAGTGTCCCAAGATTTTAAACACAATCACATTGTTTCAAAGCCATGTGCCCCATCTGATGGAAAGACTGCATAGCATTCTAGAGGCTACAATGAGTTTGCCTAGAAAGGTAACTCAAGAATAGCCCTGATGTGTCAGTTACCGTCTTTTTATAGCTAGAAGTTTAACTTTTCAGCAAGACATTATAAATAAAAGTGGTGATTATAATTAACACCTATAAAAAAGTTACAAAATACAATAAAGAATTGTTTTAAGTGCACATGAGAACTAATTCAATCCTGTGCGCAACCTACTGGAATAGATACAAACCAGGCAGAAAATCCTTGAAATAATTTGGTCTGGTCCTGCCAAGACAACTGCAGCTTCAGCCATATTGTTGTTAGGTTCCATTGAGTTGGTACTGACTTACAGCAACCTTATGACACAACAGAACGAAACACTGCCCAGTCCTGGGCCAACCTCACACCAATGCTGCCACTTTCCCAATGAAAGTGCCAAGCTAAAGCCCACTGATGCTGCCACTTTCCCAATCCATCTTGCTGGGGGTGGGGGTGGGGTGGGGTGGGGGTGAGTGTGTCTTCCTCTTTTTCTCTGATCTTCCACCTTACTAAACATGATATCCTTCTCCAGCGACTGGTCCCTCCTGTCTGAAGTATGAGAGACAAAGGTTGGCTATCTTGGGCTCCAAGGAGCACTCTGGCTGCATTTCGTCCAACACAGATCTATTGGTTCTTTTGGCAGCCCATGGCACTTTCAATATTCTCCTCCAACACCATAACTCCAAGGCATCAATTCTTCCATGGTCTTCCTTATTCACTGTCCAGCTTTCACATATTGTTAAGTACTGTGGAGTTGGTTCCTACTCATAGTGACCCTGCACAGGGTTTCCAAGGCTGTAAATCTTTATGGGAGCAGAATGCCTCATCTTTCTCCTGTGGACAGCTGGTAGTTTCAAACTGCTGACCTTGTGGTTGATAGCCTGACTTGTAACCACTACACTATTCGCGTATTGTTGTTGTTAGGTGCCATCGAGTCGGTACCAACCCATAGCAACCTTATGCAGCACAGCAGAACAAAACACTGCCTGATCCTGGGCCAACCTCACTATCGTTACCACGCTTGAGTCCATCGATGCTGCCACTTGGCCTGTCCATCTCGTTGGGGGTCTTCCTCTTTTTCTCTGACCCTCCACCTTACTAAACATGATGTCCTTCTCCAGTGACTGGTTCCTCCTGACAACATGTCCGAAGTATGAGATCAAGTTTAGCCATCATGGCCTCCAAGGGATCCTTCAATATTGTAAATCGAGGCCTGAAATTTTGTTCTGTTCCCTCAGCTTGAGGAATTAGCCTATTAGGGGTGAGTTAATCTGTGACACTGTGGGCTAATGCATCAGACTGCAAAGCTGTTTGAACTGCAAGGTCAGTGGTTCAAACTCACCCGCTGCTCCTTGAAAACCCTATGGGTCAGAATCTACTCGATGGCACTTAACAACAACAATTAAATGTTTGACCAAATGTAGCGGGCTAATTGATAAGTTGATAATTTTATACGGCCTGCAAAGGATTTATAAGTTTTGGCAGTAAAAAGGTTCCCCACTTCTGTTGCCTAGGGTTTCTATGGTGAGGTTGGTAGGTTTGAACCACCAACATTGCAGTTAGCATTCCAGAGCTTATTCTCCAGTACCATACCAGGAATCCTGAGCTTAAATATTTCTGACTTGAGTCCTGTTAAAGTCACTGAGCTACATACATAAGCTTCAATTTTTGGCAAAGAAAACAAACTCCAAAGCAGGAATGGTTTAATATCATTAATATCATATTCTTCTTTGCCAATGGTAAGGTCAGAATTTAGTTGATAAAAAAAATGCAAAATCTTTCCATTTTACCAAATATTTAATCAGAAAAAGAGAAACATTTGACTCTTTACTTATAACGAAGAATATTTTAAAACGCCAAACAACTGTCTTTTAATATCCTCTGTTCAGAGATGATGACGTGGAGCAATGGAGCAGCTGGAGACTTTAGATCCAGAGAGGGAGAGCAACTGTGTGCTGAAGACCTGGGGGGCACGGGGGAAGGATTGCATGGAGGGAATTGTAACCATGGCAATGACACGATATATGATAGAATGAATGTAAAACCAATGTTCTCCCATGTAAACTATCACATAATTCACAATAAAACATTAAAAAAAAAAAAAAAAATCCTCTGTTCATACTTCTGTTCTACTTCAGGTTAATCTGCTCTTCTTCAAGATAAAGTAGAATAGACAGCTTTTTAAAATACAATGTTTATATTAACACTGGAAGAAGGATTAAAAAAGGAACAGAATTTTTCAAAACCGTATCTGGGCACGATAGTCTTAGTTTTAGAATGTTACTCCCAACACAATCACTTTGGCTTATGAACACTTAGGAATCCATCATGCTATTTTTCAACTCATGAAATAGTAATAATATTCCCTCTTTATGGACAGCTACGTATTGATGGTTGTTAACTGGCACTTGAACAGGAGGCAATTAAATGTTAAGTACATTAATAAAATATCTAGCCAGTGCACAGAGGAATCCTTGAGCCTATTGCTATGGTCAGTGAATGTAGGCTTATATAGGAATAGAAGCTGCAGGTCAGCACACCTCTCCTGTCTTCCTCATCAGGAGTTGTTGTTGTGTTAAGTGCTTTTCAATTGTTCCAACCCACAGCAACTCTGTATACGGTACCCAAGGAGCAGCTGGTGAGCTTGAACCACCAACTTTCTGGTTCAAATCGACTTTGCATTCCAGTGCATTAAACACTAAGGATGGAAACGTACCGTCTGTAAGCAGGAGACAGTGTGCACATTCAAATGCTGCTATTAAATTTTATAAAAAGCTTATTTTAAAACAACACAAACTATGAATGAGAAAAATGTGAACAAAATCCGTATTTTTGACTTTAAATATAGAAAATACCAGTCCTTCACGCCTAAAGTTCACTGTTGACACATGGTCGGTTTGCCCTGGGTTTAATTACTCATAAAGTAGAACCTTATTTATTCTACTTCCGCCTATACTGGATTAAAAAAACAAATAAAACCAATCAAGAAGAGTACAAAAAAGATGGTGGATCGGGTGGAAGTGCAGTTAGGAGCTCTGTCAACAACAACACAGAATACAGGACCAAGCAGGCTCAGGGATGGTCCCAGAACTCTGAACCAAATATAAAGGAATATTTATTTAGAAGCTTGGAAGGCTTACAACAGCTAGGGGAATTTGTAGCAGAAGCAAGAAATCCATTGTTTTCTAATTCAAGACGCTCAGCTGCTCCAGGAGCCGCCATCTTGGGTGAGACCAAGCAGGGGAAGGATCCAATCAGCCACGAACACCTGACAGAACCACGGAGATAAAGGTGTGGACATTCTTTTCTTTTGGTATATGTTCATTGGTCCCTTGTTGTCTGTGTACCTCCATTCTGGTGATATAGGGGTGCCTGGACTAGTGGACACCCCAGCCCCACCCTCTGAGGGTTCTACTACACATGCATACAGATCTCCTTTAAATTTAAAGAGACAGTTTCCACTTAAAACCAAACGGCCACAGCCAGCCCTGAACTGTTTATAACTAGGAAAAAAACAGGCCTGAATGGGGATTGTGGAGTGGGACAGGCAGACAAAAAAGGAAATATGCCGAAAATTAAATCCTAAGTTACGTCAAAAGGACCAATAGTGGCATCTTGAAATTTCTCAAGAAGAGTGAAAAGGGAAGCCCATTTCATGATCACATCTACCTGGAGGCAATCAGAAAGCATAAAAAATACCAAAATACACCATCTAAGTATTAAGTCCATAGATAACCCTTGAATATGTGCCCAAAACAGAAGCAGATGACTGTATCTGCACATGTCCAGAAACGAGATAAAGTGACTGAGGCAAATGAGCTGGAAGAACACCTACACTGGAAGATGGGCAGGCTTTGGAAATGCCTGAGAAGGAATTCAGAAAATGATTATAAAAGGCATCAAAACACTAGGAAGAAGGAGAAACAGACTTCAGAATATTTAGTCACTGAAAACTTTATGAATAGCTGTGGAACACTATCAGCATCAGACTGTCCGATATAATGCCAGAAGATGAGCCCCTCAAGTTAGAAGGCACTTAAAATGTAAGTGGGGAAGAGGTGCCTCCTCAAAGTAGGGTTGACCATGATGATGCAAATGGAATAAAAGTTCTGGGACCTTCATTTGCTGATGGAGAACAACTCAAAATGAAGATTTCTAGCTGTAAAAATCCATTAATAATCAGAACATCGAATGCACTAAGTATGAATCTAGGAAAACCAGAAATTGTAAAAATAGGAAATGGAACCTATAAACATCAGTATTCTACGTGTTAGTGAACTAAAACGGAATGGTAGTGGCAATTTTGAATCTGACAGTCATATGGGTTACTATGCCA